ACTTGATGCAATAGACTCCTTATTCCTTTTGAGTGGTCTTTCCTCTTTTGGTTCATCATATGTTGAGCAATTGCGAGAACTTTTAGGCTTCACAGCTCGATTATAGCCATGAGACCTCTCAAATGAACAAGCTGATTTGGTGGATGATGAGCTCCTTTTAAATGCTCGGCACATCCTCTTTTTGTTCTCCATGTAGCCATCACAAGTGCGTTTTATTTCTTATAAGCACTTATTGCACGATCATGATCCATTTCCTCATTGAGGGTATGAAATTCATGGTTTGACACTTTAGCATAGCTAGATTGAGTGGAACCCTTCCTCTTAAGAGATTCGGTCTCAATTCTATCAAGTTACTTATGCATGATTCCGACTGACTTATTTAACTTCCTTTCAAAATCCCCCAATATGGATTCCAACATAAGTGTAGGATCAAAGTGGTGTGAACTTCCTTTGGTGGACATCCTTGACCTGCAAAAATGGTTAGCAAAAACAAAGGAAAGTTTCTTCATAACACACCCTCATGTGTATGCACTCGCACTCATGTATCACTCAAGTAGTTTAGACACTCTAATAAGCTCACCAAGCAAGTCCCTTGGTCATTGATCTCCTTACTTGAAAAAATCAGAAATTCCTCAAGTAGTTCAATAACTTATCCAACAATGTACAAGGAAGTGATGTAGATGAGATTTGGTACATTGATCACAACAAAGACTGATTTGAACGACTCAAAAGTGCTGAAACAAGGCTGGAAAGATGGTCCTAGTACGGCTGGAATTTCAAGCTAAACACACAGATTTGATTAGCTTAAAATCCAAGCAAAAATTCAATGGAAACAATGACCAAACGAAAACCTAGTTGGACAAGGATTTGACCAACCTTTTAGGAAACTTTCTTGGCTGACTTGGGGGGTGTTTGACCTCTTTTTGGACTGTTACTTTACTGGAAATAAGGTGTTCAACCACTCCAGCGATTTTTGGAAGCTTTTAGGCAATTTAGGAAACCACTTCCAATTTGGTTCAATACTACTTTGGTTTTGGGAGTTGCAATCGAATTTGGAAACTCAAACCCTAGCCGCCCTTGAAGAAAACCAAGAACGATTTTTTTCTTTTTTGTTCTTCTCCCTCCTTTTTTTTTTTAGATTTTTTTGCTGATCACATAAGTGCAAACCTTCAAGAATGCAAGAATTCAAGATTGGTGATAAAAAAATTCAAGCTTCTTCAAGATTGTTCAAGAACTCATTCAAGAGTTTCAAGAACCCTTTTCTTTTTTTTTTTTTCCTTCAAGAACTTCAAGATTGAGGTTTGCAGCCCAAGATTCTTCAAGTTTTAGCCCAAGAATTCAAGAAGGTTCAAGAATTTCAAGGTCAGTCATAGGTGAAGAACACAACCAGAAATTTTGACTCTAGACACAAACAAAACAACAAAACAACAATACGAGAAAGATTGACAACTAAAAAAAAAACTAAAAATTGTACGAGTGAATAGTGATTTCGGGATAAACAGTAGCGATGAACAGCAACAATGAACGGTGATGATGAATAGCAGTGATGAACAGTATGAATTTTTTTTAGAATCATGAACAACACAAAGCAACACGAAGAACAAGAAGGATATAACCTAGAAATTGTCAACTAACTCTGATTATCAGATGATACAATTTCGACCCAACAAGAACCTGACTTGAAAAACTGAATCGATTTATTCAACCATCTTCATGACTTGAACATGAATCATGGACCCCATGTTCATATCAGGAAATATCTTCAATGCTGTCAGGTTTAATCATGTCGCATATCTTGCTTAATTCATCAAACCTCAGGAGAATTGTCTTTTATAGTTTGAAAGCCCTAAAATTTTTAAAGGAAGAGAAAAAGGCGGAGCCAAAAATTTTTTTATGAAAGAGAAGAAAGTGGAATTGATATTTGTTGCTCCAAAATTGTTTGTCGAACTTCATTGTAGTAGAGTAGCATATGGGCAATGAGCACAAGATAGAGTAGAAAAAGAAATTAGAGTAGGGGTAATATGTGTCATCAAAATGAAAATAGAATAGTGGAGTGCAAATAATATAAGGGAAGTGTAAATAACATCACCCTATTAAAATAGAAAAAGCTTTCTTGTGTAGAAAAAAAGTTTGTCCAGAAAGATACAATAAATGACACTAGATCAAGCAAATTAAGGTTTAATGTATAATTGGGCTGACAATCATTTTTAGGGATTTTGACTTTTGATTCTAAATGGAAGTATAGGCACACTCATAATCCTTCTATTGTACAAACATAGCAACAGCCAAAAATTTTTAAGCTATAGTACTAATTTAATTGATCACAAAATTAAGAGATTGGGAGGAGTTCTAAAGAAAAAACAAAAAGAATTTAACACTTGAAGTTTATTATTAGCTTGACCCAAAAAGACTCTCCTGATGGCATGCAGACACCTGAAGAAAAACAGGTGTGAGCCATCCAGTCACTAGGCGAACGCCTGTTGGCCACCAAAAGGATTTCGTTTTGCTGTAATTGTGAGTAACAACTAGTTATTTGTTTTGAACGTTGGAACTACTTTTTCACCTCTGTAAGTACCCGTAACCTCCAATTTATCGATAATCTTTTGAGCTATCAATTGTTTATCTTTCAAGCACTAAAACCATAGTTATTAAACCCAGCCCGACCCTGCGGTTCAATCGGTCAATTTGGTGAACCGGTCATGAAACCGGGCTGGGTTTGTAATTGGTTCGTTTGTGCACCAAATCCGTTGACTTTTCAACGGACCGGCGGTTCAACCGGTCAACTTGGTTGAACCGAACGGTTTGTAAGGAACCCGGTTTTGGGATAAAAATGATTAGAAAATGCTCTAATACTGATTCGAACCTCAGACTTCAAGCATAAAAGCTACACACACTCACCACTAGCTTAGCAGCTCACTTGGTGCTTATTCACTCCTTCTATATTATATATTAGATTTTTATTCTTATTTTATTTCTTCAAAACAATATTTGTTTGGAATTTTTTAATAAAATTTTATTATTCTCTAAATTCTATAAATTATGAAATGGATTTAAAAAATAACATATTGCACAATTCATTTTAAAAACAAATATTATTCTTAATAACCTTTTGTGCTTAAAATTCAAAAATAAACTAGATAATTATACTTAGATAAAATTTTATACTTGAAGTTTGGTGGATTACTAATTAAATTTAGGTTTTGTTAATTCTTATAAAAATTGATGATTCTATAATAAATTGGACTAACTGAGTATTTACTATAACATAGTTTATTATAGTTTTAACCATATCAAAAATTATAAAATATAATATTTAAATATATGTAGTGACCCACCGATTGGACCACTCACCCACTGATTGAACCAGTAACCCATTGACCCACCTCTTTCACCGGGTTTCTCTTCGGGCCGGGTTTAATAACTATGACTAAAACCCTTCAATATTTCATTTCATGAATTTCAACCAAATCTAAATTCTCTTTTTTTGAACTACTTAGAGCCTCATTTGTATATTGATACCATTGATGGTAGAGCTATCACTTGTATCATCTACAATTTTTTTTTTTTTTTTTTTTTTTTTTTTTTTTGCTTTTTTGAGGGATGTGTCACCTACATTTCAAAGAGCGTTCTTTCAATTGTAATATATAAATAATCTGTGAGTTCTGTGCGCTTTTTCTTGGAGGAAAGTTAAAACCTGTGAGAGGATGATGGTTGATTGAATAGTTGATCAGTCTTTTTGCCACAAATGGAGAAGAATGATTGAACTCTAATAAATGGTGTCCATTGGGTAGTCTTCAGGTCTGATGGCTACTTGCAATTCTTTAAACCTCAGGGATTCAAGGACATGTACCATACAATTCGGACAATGCCCAAAGACCAAAAAAAAAAAAAAAAAAAAAAAAAAAAAAAATTCAATGCTGAAAGCTAAATTTATCCATGACAAGCTCTCAAGGAAAGATGATATAGGCGAAAATAGCAGCCTTCCCAAATAAGCTTACAGGGAAAATACTTGATGTAATTGAACTAAAGCATAGCATTAATAAATTTGAATTCCCCCTTAACTTCTCGGATGAAGTATTCTAACAAATAATAAAGAAGTTTGTACATTAGTTTCCTCTTACAAAATCATTACTCATTATGACTATTACTTGATGATGTACAATCTTTGTAATACATTGTAATTTATTACAGGTAACTTGTACAACTTGGCATAGTGACGTTAGCAATTAGTACTATTTATAATGATACGTACATTTTAGTCATACTATATTTTATATGGTGGTGGACGTACACAAAATTTTTACTTTGTTGGCCGCATTATGGCCTTCTGGAACCGTAATTGTCTCTAATCTAAGTCACTTTATTAAGCAAAGCTCTCCATAGCATAGCCTGCATAGAAGGAACATGATTTCAACGTTGTTTTATGTTCCAAGTCACTTTTATTAAATAAAGCTCTCCATAGCATACCATACATGGAAAGAGCAGGATTTCTGTGTTGTTTTTTATTTTTCAATTAGATCTACGCTTCAAAGCTTGTACGGTTTTCCAACCTATGCTTCAGGGCGTTGTATGCTCTTCCAGCCTCCAAGGTTCCTTACTCGATAAACCCTGGAAACATACTGATCTTTATACGTCAATTGAGGCTACTAGATATTGCAAGCAAGTCAAAGAATGCTTCCTTGGTTTAACGGAGCATTTCCTAAACTCTCGGACAATTACAGTTTTAATCATACTGGACATTGGTTGAGCTTATGAACAAATTTTACGTTGGTTCTACCAAAACTGTCTGCTTTGAGTCACTCTAGTAGTCTTCCTCAAGAGTCACTAACCTTAGACATGGTCTTCATCTTCTTCAGCGTATTTGGAATGAAATATGAAAATCTCACTTGTTAGTATAATTACTTTCATTCGTAACAGAACAAAAAACAATTTGACACCGCAACCAAACTTCAACTCTGATACCTATGAATCCCTTTGTGCACCTTCTGTCGACAAAGTTATTTTAACTTGAAAACAACCAAAAGAATAGCAGTAATAACACTAATATTAAAGTTAAATACAATAAACTTTAGATATTTTTTATGTTCCGCTAAAATGTCAGCTTTTAACTCCACTCACTTCAATCTCAACAATGACCTGCACTAAGATATGCTTTTCAACTAACTCTGCACAAGCCCATTCCGCCAATTGAACAAGGAAAACCTAAACTAGTTTATGAAGTTAGCAAGTCAACATAAAGGTTTATGATGCACAGTCTGATACTGGATATTACAAAAGTCGATAATTTCCTATTGTGATGGCGCGAGTTGCCTCAACTTGGCCTGTAAGACAATTCCAACCTCATCAGCTATACTTTTCTTCTTAGTAGCCACCTGCAGACCAAACACACAGCAATAAAATGCATGTATAAAATAAAGTATCCAATGCCTGGGAAGATAAAAAAGATTACAACAATGACACATCGGTGTCCACTGTTGAAACGTTTTGCCCTGTTGCAGACTTTTAAAACCAGGGCATTAAGTTCAAACATTATCAATATCTTCTTTCTCATTAGGTTCATATATTACCATTTACAGACTGATTGCCTTTCAAAGTTTTGAACTAAATGTCAATCAACAGGCATAACAATATGCAACCACAGTCCTTTGTTAAAGTTGAGGATAGAGCAACTCGTAGCATACTCTTAGAAATGATTTCTACTATGGCAGTGTGAACTATATAAAACAAAGGCCTCAAATGCATGTCTAGGAGCACAGAGAAATGCCTTTGCCTGGGGACACTCTTTTTCCCCCAGTCGTAACAGGATCAGTATCCTGAGACTATTTTGCTGCAGTAGTAGCCACGAGTAAAATGTCTGCAAAAGTTATAAGAGCATAAAGTTCCCTTAGCTCGACAGGATCAGTTGCATTTTGATTTCATGCATGTCACAGGAAGCACCTTACATAAAACATTCTCAATCATAGGTAGCTTGCAAACCAACAGACTTGATCCTAAGCTCTAAAGAGAAATGGTTAAAGATGGGAACCATACTCATTACCAGAACAAAAATTCACCCAAACTAAGGCCAAACAAAATCTCCAACTAAGATAAAGTTCCTTTAGCTTGACAGAATCAGACACTTTTTGATGTCATGCATGTTACATGAAGCACCTTACAGCACAGCAGTTTCAACTATAGTCAGCTTTGAGACCAATAGACTTGATCCTAATCTCTAAATGAACATAGCCAAAGATTGAATTAGTACCACAATATATTTCAACCAAACAAAATATCTAATTCGCAAATATGCCTATCTCCATTTTCCTTTACTTTGTTGTAGGCACAATACGGTTAGTTGCCATAATTTTTCCAATGTTTCCTCAACAAAGTTCAAGCTCATCAACTATAATTTTCACTGACATTCCTGCCATAGGGGGTCAAGGGTCCCTATCAATCGCCAAAATGAAAAGATATCCAACATGTTGGATATGAGTTTGCAAAACAATAGTCTTCCAAGAGTGTCAGACACACATTGCAGCTATTTAACCTTGCAGTTCAAAAGCAACAGCTGACATGAACCGAACATCAAATGTAGGACTTTTTGATAGTCAATGTGCAAAATGTAAGAGACTACGAGTTCCTTTGTCAAATAATTCATTTCTACGACGAAGTAACAGGTATCACAATGAACATAAATTAATTGTAAGGATCTTTCACACACACATCTTGCTATTGGCATAAGATGGCTGCATACCAGAATCAATATAATAAAAGCTGAAGACATTTGTCAATATCATCTTGGTATATGCATATCTAATACAGATGTATAAACAGAAACGTAAGAACATATCAGGTGCTTAACATTTATATAATTATCCATACACATGGTTTGAAATTACACCAACATTTGTTTATTGATGTTTCCTTGATCTACCAAATCCTATTTCCAATCAAGCTAATGGTACTTCTAGATGGAAAGGTCCCTTTTAGTTATTTGGGTTGTATACCCTCACTGCTTTCTACATGACTTATACATTCTTAACGAAAAAAGATAGATCATATCCCATTTTCTAGAGACTATCATCCTTGGCCCCTTGATACGAACGTCGCCAACCTTGTGACGAAACCCGTAAAAGATTAGCTTCAGGATCGACAAGAGGACACCAAGTTTGGAGCGGATGACCTCAACCCGTTAATCACGTGGTTAACGAACCTTGGTATAATGGTAGAAGACGCCACAATCTAGTGCGATTTTAGATTGATAAGTCACGAACACCTAGAGAAATTCTAAGGTATTCAAGAAGCCTTGGGGAAACCAAGAAAACTCTCAAAATTTGATTTATTGAATGCCTAAACTATTGGAAGTGTGGGCTATTTATAACCTTGCATAGAGATGAAAAACTAAATAATGTGGAACTAGTCTAGAATTGTGGACTTGACTAAGACTAAGAATTGTAGGCTTGACTATTTCCATAAGGCTAAGAATTGTGGGCTTGACCGAACCTTATGAGATCATCCCTTAGGTAAATAAAGCAAGGCTATGGACCATTAAGCCCTTATTACAAATAACTTAACTAAAAGAGCAAATGTGACTAGATGGGCAGACGACTTGAACTTATAAAGCATGCCCACGCCTTATAATGACTTTGCTGCGGTGAATCAATTAAATGGTAGAAGACGTATCCTTATAAAGCGTGCCCGTGCCTTATAACGTCTTTGTTGCGATGAAGCTGAATGAATTGCTCGAGCTCGTGTAACCAATCCTAGTGGGACTTGAACCTTATCCGATGGCATAGCTTGACTCGTTGTGGTGTCAAAGATAAAACATGCAGCTTGGCCATTGATAGGAGTTGTGAAGTCAATCTTGCAAGCGCTATCATGGTTCACAAATTAAATCTTCCAACCATTGATCATCTTCAACCGTATAAGTTGCCGAGTGCTCATGGTGATGTTTGGGTTACTAAGCACACACTTGTACCTATTCAAATTGGCAAGTATGTGGATGAGGTGTTGTGTGATGTAGTCCCAATTCAAGTGACACGTGTTGCTGGGTAAAGCGTGGATGTTGAGGCGAGAAGTTAAATATGATGGACATACTAATAAGTATTCCTTCTTATTTAATGGTCATCGTTCTGCACTTGTATCGCTTATTTATGACCAACTTTGTATTGATCTAGCATGCATGAAAAGTGAGCATGAGCGTTATAGTATGAAGAAATAGCTAGATGAGGGAATTGTGACTGATGAGGTAAAATTCGAGGGAGTTGAAAAGGAGAAAGAGGTTGAGAATAATGAGAGGAAAAAGACAGCTATTGAGCATGAGAAAAGATTGAAAAATCCAAAGTGTTGACTGAGGAAGCGAAAGAAAGGAGAAATAATGCACTGATTTTAAGTTTCAACAAAAATGAGAGTGAGGGGACTTATTGCCATTCTAACAACCTTAACATTGCTCTGTCTAGTGTTCCTTGTTTTGTGCAGGTTAAGCAAAGTGCAATCGCTTTGATCTTACAATGTTCCATCCCAAAATCACTTGTGCAATTTGCGAGTTTCCATGGAGTTTGTCTTCTAGTTAGATCAATTTGGTTCCCATTCATGGAATCGGATGATTTCAACAGTGTCTTTGGAGGATCAAACTATGTGTACCCTCAAGATGTTAGAATCGACCATGTTCCACGAGTTTACACAAGGAGCAAGGTCTTCAATGGTCTCTACAATACCTATGCTTATCTTGCACCTAGTCCACTTGAAGCTCCAACTTCACCAAGTCAGCTTCCATACTTTGCAAGCTTATTCAAGTTTGAGGAGACTGATTTCATAGGATCTACATCACATCACTTTGAGGATCCTTACCTCATGATCACAAGCAATCAAGTTGGGCATACATTGAAACTGGTTCGTGAGATTCAAGGTTCAATAAGGTTTACTTTCCAGCTCAGCAAGTGATTTATGCATTGGATGAAACTTGTGGTAATCATAACAAAATTGACTCGACGGCATGTAACTCTTTTTATCATCATTCATGCTTCAATTTGTGGGCAAATTGCTTTCAAGAGGAGGGGAATGATACAAGTCAAGTTATGCCATCGGATAAGGTTCAAGTCCCACTAGGATTGGTTACACGAGCTCGAGCAGTTCATTCAGCTTCATCGCAGCAAAGATGTTATAAGGCGCGGGCACGCTTTATAAGGATACGTCTTCTGCTATTTAATTGATTCACCGCAGCAAAGTCATTATAAGGCGTGGGCATGCTTTATAAGCTCACGTCGTCTGCCCATCTAGTCACATTTGCTATTTTAGTTAAGTCATTTGTAATAAGGGCTTAATGATCCATAGCCTTGCTTTATTTACCTAAGGGATGACCTCATAAGGTTCGGTCAAGCCCACAATTCTTAGCCTTATAGAAATAGTCAAGCCTACAATTCTTAGTCTTAGTCAAGCCCACAATTCTAGACTAGTTCCACATTATTTAGTTGTTCATCTCTATGCAAGGCTATAAATAGCCCACACTTCCAACGGTTTTAGGCATTCAATCAATAAATCAAATTTTGAGAGTTTTCTTGGTTTCTCCAAGGCTTCTTGAATACCTTAGAATTTCTCTAGGTGTTCGTGACTTATCAATCTAGAATCGCACTAGGTTGTGGCGTCTTCTACCATTATACCAAGGTTCGTTAACCACGTGATTAACGGGTTGAGGTCATCCGCTCCAAACTTGGTGTCCTCTTGTCGATCCTGAAGCTAATCTTTTAGGGGTTTCGTCACAAGGTTGGCGACGTTCGTATCACCCCTTGTACTGTTCACATCTCATATCCATGTTTCCAAAGGCAGCTTTTCAATGTACAAGAAGCTGCTTTGAAATTGCTTCTAATCTACATTTCTATGCTAGCATAGGAGAAGTCAGTAGTGTTTTGCAGTCTACTTTCATGCATCAGCAGTTAACATAGAATTTTTTTTGCAGTCTACTTTCGCATCTCAGGCTTGTCCAAGAATTTTTTCCCTTCCAGCAACTGAAGCAAGTTCTCATAATTTAAGAAAGCGAGGCCTTAAGTTTCATTTTCACCCATTTAAGTGATTCACAATGTCACTGAAGTATGAACCCAGCTTTTAAAGTTTTTAGAAAGGGCATATTTGCCATTTGAATCCATTCAAAATATTGTTAACTTCAACAAATACCGTAACAATTATGCTTTATTATTCTAAACAGTAATAAGTTACTTTTGGTCAGAAGTTGGACCAGGCTCACAAGAAGACAAAGGTAACTACCCAATATTCTTTCATTTCACTGATGATTCTTAACATAACTGTTCTGAGAACAGGCCTTTTCAAATAGATAACTAAAATACATGACAAGCATTTGACATTTCTTTTCTTCTTCAGTCATTGTCAAAATGGGATACAGAAATCACACATTTCTTGGTAAGTGCAAATAATACAGTAAAGTAGTCACCACAATTAGTTGACGCATTTGCAGTTCCCAGATTTATCAGGCCTAACTTGAAAAAATTAGATTTGCTTTGGATGCTTACCAAATCAAATTGAATATTAGTTATGTGAACAAACTTTATCCTGTACCAAGTGTTACCAGTACTTAAGAGCTCTGATAGGTGAAACCAAGATATGGTTACATATGTGTGGGTCTGTGTCTGAGTGGATACAGATATATCCATATGTGTACAAGTACAAAAAACACACATTTATAAACCTCCATATGGATACAAACATGTATAAGATATATCATACCGTGCTCACATGTATACTGGTAGTTTCCTGGAAATCTCCCAGGTACTTCCCTTCAAAAGTCTCAGAAGTTTTTTGTTAACTTCAAGACCTTTCGAGTCACTTAAAATTCAGCAAAAAATTTAACACCACTTCATCATACATATTAGAGCAAAGACGCAAGATGGCTCTAAGAACTTTTTAAACCTGTTAAATTTTCTAAAATATTTTCGGTTGTTATGATCTTAGGCTTTCCCCTACTATCCTATATCAGAATCACTACTTGCACGGTTAGATGAACTGTTCACTCTGATGCTACTCAAAAAAGAAAACGCCACATTGTTCACAAAAGTACGAAGGCAACATTGCAGCAGGTCAGAGCATAATCTATTAAAGCCGTTCTGATGCTGGTATTGTCAAAGCACCATCCATTTCAAGCCAAAACAAGTAGAGGATACATAAAAACTCAAAGGAAAATTTAAAGAATAGTTAGGTCTATTTAGGTCTCAAATCTGCAAAAGTGAGCACCAAGTGAGACAAAAATCTCATAACCAAAATATTGACTCAACTTTTCTCATCTGAAGTGTTACCACCACATCACACAAGGTATGACACATAACATTGTGTAAGTTAATCATATGAAATCCATTGTCTAGTAATTAGAAACACACTGAACCCACATATAAATAACATGGCAATACAGTAAAAGGCAGATATTTTATCTAGGGACCTGGATCATACAATGAATGAAATGAATGCCTGTGATGCTTTGATCTACATCAGGCAAAAGTGGCAGAACCCTTGCGGCCTTATTTGGAATTTCAATAAATTGAAGCTCTTTAGTTCAAACGTAAAGAGTTTTCACCCTGAACCAAGGCTGGCAGATTAGGACTTTTACATTTTCACCACTTCAATCCATGTAAGACTAGTTAGTAACTTGAATGACCGAGCTTCTTCTAGTCAAACATTTATCTGTAAAGCTTTTTAAATTAAATGGTTAATCTGATGTGCCCTGGGAAACTACTACATACTGAGGCAATGTCAACTAGTGGTAGATGTAATGTACATATCTTATTTTAGGACATAGTCCAATAAATGTTTATTACATTTCTTCATGCTATCCGTGCCAGAAACTGGTTCACGTTTGCATGCTCTTGCTGTAGTCAGTCTAGCCCCTAATCTACATTTGGGGTCTTCCCCACCCCCGATATTATTTAGGATGCTTTTGATAAAACTGAAGTTTGAAATCTAAAATCTGAAGTCTGAATTCATTAAGTTATTGAATTGTTAAATATTAAATCTAATACATTTGAGTGCATATCACATTTAGTGATAAGTGAATAGCTTATTACTTAATTTTGGGAGCAAGTTTTGCCTAGGAAATTTAATGCCACTTAATTAATTCAGATGTTCAATTTTTCGATATCAAATGGTCTGAATATATTAAGATCTGAACCCATTAAGTTTTAAGTGCTGAACTAGGTTATCAAACAGGGCCTTAGTTTCAGTTTGTGTATGAAACAATATTAATGGAGTGATTCCATATTTTAGTTTCAGTAGATGTGGTTCCAGAGTAACCATATGTGTCGTAGGATTCCTTTTACTCAATTTCCCCTTACTTTGTTCCTGTTCCAGCAAGTTACAAGAACCAGATTAACATTACATTCACAATCTAAGAACAGCTGCATAGATTGCTAGAAGTGTACAGGTGGTTCTCAGCAGCAAAAACTTTGAACTTTTACATTAGTAGTTAGAACTTGAATTCTAGCGAGCTACATTACAGGGAATTGGGTATGGGTGAGTGTTTTCTAGAATCAGAATACGACAAAACCAGCTCAGATTTGCATACAGCCAAGGGGATATGCTAAATGAGATAATTTATTGGAGATATATTGTCTTTGTTGTAGTCTCTCTTTCAGGTGTATTTTCTCATACATACTCCACTAGTTGTTTTACGAAGGCTTTGTTAATTTCCTCCGGAGACGAATAAGTTCTTTGAATTAACAACAATTGTATAAAACACGTCTTCAATCAAATAAGATTAGGCAATCCTCATCCACTCTCACCTGACTCATTATAGCAAATAAATCTTAAACAAATAGGAGTCTAGTCAGACTCCACTTCATCTGATTGTTATTAGTTTTGCCAAGTTCTCCAATCTCTTTTCCCCAGCATTTGCTAAAGATTGTGTCAAAATCAAAAGTCAAAGTCCCAAATAATATTTGACCATATCTTGTCCTGATTGCATACCAGTACCCCTACTTCGCAGCAAAGTGCAAAGTCCAGGTAAGACAGATGGGAAGTAGTTTAGTATAAAGTATAAACATATAATTCACCTTTGTCCTTATCTTTTATGAATCAACTGAACATAAAAACCTTCATCCACTTGGGAATTTGTTTCACCAAACTAATGTATAACTCATGATCCTTCTGTTCTACTCAACCAAGAAATAAGTCACGAGAACCTTTTAATTTTATAGAAATGAAGACTAAAGATGAAATTTGTGTAAGTTTCAACTCAGAAAAAGAGAGAAAGGTAGCTCAAGTTTTGCATCATCCCATGCAGAAAATTTAAATGCAAAGACAAAAATGGAAAATCTTGCTACCATATTACCATTCTAACTAGATTCAAGACATCATATAACAAATACAAATTAAGGAATGTAGATCAAGGGGGAAGAAAAGGTTAGGGGGAAGCAAAAATACTGTTGTAACCAGGACAAGTAAACCCAAGGCAGTTTCAAAATTTTGGGGAAACAATGGTCATACCTCAAGAAGCTGATCATAGTTGGACTTTAGCAAGTTAATCTTTCGCTCACAATAATCTTTTCCTTCCACCATTGTTTTCTATTTCAAGAAAACCAAAAACTGAATTAGGCGTTCGAACTACTCAACTAGAAGCAAAGCAGACTAGCACACAACAAAATTACTCTTCATGACAAATGAAAACATGTAAATCTCAGCAGATGAAATGGTGAACAGTATCATGAAGTTGAAACATCAGCACTTTTTAGACAATTCTACATAAAGCAATTTTAGTGTTATCACATGTAGTTTGAAATTGTCAGATATCAAATAGTTTCACATAATTCTGGCAATCAAAAATAAAAATGGACTATCATTTTATATTGCTCCCTATTCTGTTCTTCTCATATTTTTTCTCCTTGAACTAGTCATTAGATAATGAAAACGCTTCCTCACTACCATTGCCTATTTAAAGGTGCCAACAAAGGAATGTCAGTTTCTTAATTTATCTGAAATTGTTTCTTTCCAGTGACAGGTGGAAGAGGTAAGATGAAGCAAAATTGTTAAAATTCAGCTCTAGGAACAAATTGAGCTTACAGGTGTTTTCTAGGTTGTTTAGGCTCATTTGACTTTCATGAGCAAAAGACTTGTGAAAAAAAAAAGATTAAATATTGAGGTATCTTTACAACATTAAGCTGTTGTTAATTGCAGCTACACAAAACAATTATAATAATAATAATATCAATGAATAAGGACCAAAATGCTAGGATTAAAGAGAGTAAGAATAGGAGGGAACCTAAGGTTATGAGTAAAAATTTTGGAATCAGAACCAAGAAGCGTATCCTTTAGGAAAAGCTAGATATTATGTACCGATTTAACACTTGAACAGAAATGCTTAAAAAATTCAATTGAATAGTCCCTCTTCTCTTGTTTGATAAGCAGGTGCTTATATTTCTTTCCTATTTTGCCTTCCAGATACTTCAGAAAAACTTTCCAAAAAATTTGAATAAGAGTACAACTTAAATTATGGCCTCTTCCTTTTGTCAGTTAATAACCTAATTCAGACTAGCAGTTGTTACCCTTGTAAAATTCACATCAGCCAATTGATGGGCATTTGCATACATCCTATAAGATATATACACCACTCAAACAAGAACCATGCACAAGCAAACTAAATTAACAGCTAGATGAAGCAAAAATGACATTTAATTTAGATTTAGATCCAATTAGTGTAGCAAATGCACATCATAATTTCTACTAATACAACAGGATGGATAACTTAAGCAAGTCCATGAAGCCAAAGCAAATGACACGTTATTTCTGTAACAGACCATATTAATGCACTTCAAAGGAGTGATGCTCCTACTAGTAATAAAAGTTATGTGCAACATTTTAGGGGAAAACATAGGTACCAATTCAACAAACATTATTATCAAAGAAAGTCACAGAAATATTAACAAAACATGAAACCCAAATGTATTACATAAAGACTGGATTTACAACTGATATTTTACAAACCTCGGGTCCTCTCACTTGCAAGTTAATCACATTTTACAATAGTGGAGATAAAGCCATACAATCATTGTCATAAATCTTAACTCACAAACTTGAAGGTATTATGGCATATATCAACTAATGTATACCTTACAACATATCGTCAATTACTCAATTAAGATACTAATGGACAGTAATCTAGTCAAAGTAATCTTTGTGATAGCGATAAGTGGCAAAAGTCCACTAAGGTTTATAGGAGACGTGGGAAGGATATGTCGAATGCCCAGGCATTGATTTAGCATGCTTTTGATGACAAGGAACCAACTTGGGAGTTGGCCTGAATCCTATGGAGTTTATTTTCTGATTTCTGTCGGCAGGGGTATTTTAGTAATTTGAATTAGCTGCAGGAATTTTATGTTTACAGTAATTTTTGTTTAGTAGTTATTCTTGGTAATTAGTAAGTTGGTTGTTATAGGGAATAAGAAAGCTTAGCCTTCTAGCTTTCTAGTTATAATTCTATTCTAGCTAGGAATCCTAATTAGGATTGGAAAGAGATTTGTCCTAGATAGGAATCCTAATTAGGATTGGAAAGGGATTTGTCCTAGTGTCTATAAATATCAACTTCTCCACAAAGAGAAGGCAGTTTTTGGTCATTTAATAAAATATTCCTGCAGACTTAACGTCTCCCTTAGGGCTGTGTGATGCATTCCAACTTTAGGTGTGAGGCCTAAAGATTCCTATGAGTGATTCTTAGAACTACCAACCAGTTTTACCTTCTTAAGCATAATCTGCCAGCCTATTTCAAGTTGCTATTTTAAGTTCGGTGATATTCAATATATAAGCCTTCTACAACACTGTTGTGCCCACCAAGTGTTCGTGCTGCATCAATTTTGGTATCAGAGCAAGGCTTTCCCATGACGACAAGAAGTGGGTTGAATTTTAGAGGTCGATACACAGACAAGGAATGGGATAACATCATTAATCTTCTCTTAGGGAGGGTTGCTGTGTTAGAAGACAAAATCTTTAATACCGAGCAACAGCAAATCCCTGAATCTGGAGGCAACGGTGAGCCCGGATCTGGGGACAAAAACAATGGAAGGGAACCTGAGCATCTCGAACAGCCTGAACACATAATCGGGAAACAATCTAGTGGGAGTGAAAATAGAATAAATCAATCTTTTGGAAGGCCACAAGCTTCTCTTTTTGACATGGCTGATGAGATTGTTCAATCAGCAAGGCAAGGAAGACAAGACTCTTATGATTTCGCAGGAGACATCACAAAAAAGGTAAGAGTAGATATCCCTGATTTCGATGGAAGAATTGATCCTAAAGTCTTTTCTGATTGGCTCGCTACTTTGGAACGCTATTTTGACTGGTATGATATGACTGATGAGAGAAAAGTTAAGTTTACTATCATGAAACTTGTTGGACAAGCCCAGGTGTGGTGGACAGGAGTCGAGCATGATCTTTGACTTGCTGGACAACTAGACTTGACGTGGGAAGAGATGAAGCTGCGTTTGAAGAGAAGTACGTGCCTCTACACTATGAAGCTGACCTTTTTGATGACATGACTAGCTTAAGGCAAGGAGGAATGACAGTTGCTGAATATATGAATAAGTTTGAGGAGCTGAAAATTCACTGCGGAGGCACCGAAAGTTCAGCACAAGCTTTATCCAGATTTAAGTTGGGTTTGAGACCTGAAATTCGCAAAGAATTGATGGGACGGGATATCTACACAGTTGACAATGCATTCCAAACAGCTCTTAGACTGGAAAAGAGCCTGCAGCAGCCACCACTTAAGAGGATCAATACTCAAGGTGGGGAGGAAATTCCTAAAAGATTCACTGCAAACGGCAAGCCATATAGATCAGCAGCAGCTCAAGCAACTTCCAAGCCTGCGGAGAACAAGACTAAGACTTCCACAATCGATGAAAGAAACAAGAACAAAGATGGATGTTTCAAGTGTGGTTTGAAGGGACACATGGCATGGGAGTGCCCGAACAAGAGGAACTTGCACCTTGGCGCCGATTTCAGAGATAAGGAAAATCTAGAGGTCCAGGAAGATGAAGGTGCTGATTATTTGACTGAGATAGCGCAACTTAATGTTGATGATTTGGAAGACGAAGAAGAAGACACGTCTTATCTCTCGGTTGTGAGGCGTCTCCTTAGTGCACCAAAGTCACAAAAGGAAGACTGGCGAAGAACTTCAATCTTTCAAACTTTAGTGTGCTGTGGGCAAGAGACTAGAAAGCTAATTATTGATGGTGGCAGCAGCATGAATGTGGTTTCAGAATCTACCGTATAACGGTTAAATTTGCCTACAGAGCCACATCCTGAACCTTACAAGGTTGCTTGGATCAACAGTAGCTCTATACCAGTAACGAGACGTTGCTTGGTGTCCATTAAACATGGACCATACAGCGATACTATATGGTGTGACGTTATTCCAATGACCGTTTCCCACATACTTCTTGGTCGACCTTGGCTATATGATCGAGATGTGAATCATAATGGAAAGTGAAATACTTACTCATTCAAGTTTAATGACCAGCAGATTGTCTTAAAGCCTATGAGTGCTGAAACTATGAAGAAGTTTCATGAGAAGAAACCAACCAAACAAGAGAAGCCAGGAGTTAATGAAGTGATCGAGACAAGGAAGAAACCTCTTCAGATTTTGAGCAAGAAGCAATTTGAAAGGGAGAGCAAGGAGCAAGGAGTTATTATGGTATTAGTCTTCAGGGAGGTGAACATTTCAGCAGTTGTCATCTCTGAAGAAGTGCCTCCAGAAATTGTCAAATTGCTGTCCGATTTTTCTGATGTAGCTCCTGAAGATTTGCCTCATGGACTACCACCTATGCGTGATATCCAGCATGCAATAGATTTGATACCAGGCTCTCAACTTCCTAACTTGCCTGCCTATCGCATGAACCCGAGTGAGTCTGCTGAACTTAAGAGACAAGTAGAGGAGCTCTTGGACAAAGGACATATTCAAGTCAGCCTAAGTCCTTGTGCAGTGCCGGCTTTATTGACTCCAAAGAAAGACGGAACCTAGAGAATGTGTGTAGATAGCCGTGCAATCAACAAGATAACAATCAAGTACAGGTTTCCCATACCCAGACTTGATGATATGATTGATATGATGGCTGGGTCAACTATCTACACTAAAATTGACTTGCGAAAGGGGTACTATCAAATCAGAATTCGTCCAGGTGATGAGTGGAAAACAGCCTTTAAGACGAAGGATGGTCTCTATGAGTGGCTAGTGATGCCATTTGGCCTCTCTAATGCTCCCAGCACCTTTATGAGATTCATGACGCGGGTATTTCAGCCCTTTATTGGCCGTTTTGTGGTTGTCTATTTCGATGATATCTTAATTTACAGCAAGAACAAAGAGGAGCACATTAACCATCTTCAACAAGTAATAAGAGTTCTTCGTCAAGAAAAACTCTATATCAACTTGAAGAAGTGCACCTTCATGGCTCCTAGTGTGGAATTTTTGGGTTTTGTCATTTCAAATGAAGGGATAGCTGCTGATCCAGGAAAAGTGAAGGCAATAGTAGATTGGCCAGTTCCTACTAATTTGAAGGAGGTTCGCAGTTTCCATGGGCTAGCTTCATTCTATAGGAGATTTATAAGGGGGTTTAGCTCTATTATGGCTCCCATCACTGATTGCATGAAGCAGGGACAGTTTCAATGGGCAAAAACTACGGCTAAGGCTTTTGAAGAATTAAAGAAGCGAATGACCGAAGCTCCAGTGCTTAGGCTGCCAGATTTTTCTAAGGTGTTTGAGATCGCATGTGATGCTTCTCATGTCGGGATTGGTGGAGTTCTAAGTCAAGAAGGTCATCCTATAGCTTATTTTAGTGAAAAGCTGAATGAGGCAAAGCAGAAATACTCCACTTATGACAAGGAATTCTACGCTGTTATTCAATCTATTCGCCATTGGCATCATTATCTTATTTATAAGGAATTTGTCCTATATACTGATCATGAGGCCCTCAAATATATAAATTCTCAAAAGAAGTTGAGCCATCGGCATGGCAAATGGGTTTCTTTCCTGCAACAATACAATTTTGTTATCAAACACAAGGCAGGTGTTGAAAATAAGGTGGCTGATGCACTAAGCCGTGTGCATCTTATCCTCACCACTATGGCTGTTCAAGTAATTGGGTTTGATTCACTTAAGCAAGATTATCCTCATTGTAGAGATTTCAACGTCATATATGAGGATTTAATGGCTGGTAAACAAGCACAATATGCTGGTTTTTCCATCCATGATGGCTATCTTTTCAAGGGGACTCTACTTTGTGTTCCTAGCACTTCACTAAGGGAGGAGTTAATTTGGGAATTACACGGTGGAGGTGCTGCTGGACACTTTGGACGCAAAAAGACAATTGCCATGGTGCAAGATCGCTTCTATTGGCCAAGTATAAGACGGGATGTTGGCAAGACTGTTGGTAGATGCCGAATTTGTCAATTGGCCAAAGGGCGAAAGAAAAACACTGGTCTTTACATGCCACTACCCATTCCACATGAACCGTGGCAGGATTTGAGCATGGATTTTGTACTTGGACTACCAAGAACATTGCGAGGTTATGATTCTATACTAGTAGTTGTGGACAGATTTTCAAAAATGGCTCACTTCCTCCCATGTGCTAAGACTTCAGATGCTGTCCATATCGCTAAGATTTTCATCAAAGAGATAGTTAGACTTCATGGACTGCCCATGACTATAGTTTCAGACAGGGATGTGAAGTTTATGAGTTACTTTTGGCGGACTTTGTGGAAGATGCTGCACACTAAAGTCAAGTTTTCTTCTTCTTTCCACCCACAAACGGACGGTCAGACAGAAGTTGTTAACCGCAGCCTTGGTGATCTACTTCGGTGTTTGGTTGGTGATCATGTTTCCAATTGGGATCAAATTCTACCAATGGCAGAATTTGCTTACAATAGTTCAGTGAATCATTCAACTGGTTATAGTCCTTTTGAGGCTGTAACGGGAAATAATCCTCGCAAACCAATTGATTTGCTTCCATTACCAGTTAGTGCTCGTCCAAGTGCTGAAGCTGAGGCTTTTTCTAAACATATTTTGGATATACATGATGAAGTTCGACGCCGGATTGCTACCAGCAATGAAAGGTACAAGGCACATGCGGATTTGAAGAAGAAATTCGCAGAATTTGAAGAAGGGGATGAAGTAATGGTTCGTATGCGGCCAGAGAGGTATCCTAAGGGCATCTACAAGAAGCTACATTCAAGAAGTGCAGGCCCCTTCAAGGTTCTCAAGAAAATCAGCTCAAATGCTTATGTTCTTGAGTTACCCGATGATATGGGGATTAGCAATGTGTTCAATATTGAAGATTTGACTGCTTATAATGGGCATTTAGACGATTCAGCAGGTGGGACTTCTAAGGCTGCTCTTCCACCTCCTACACGCTTACGTGAAGCAATTGAAGATGTTCTTGACCACCAAATTGTGTCCACTAGAGGGGGTGGTTACCAAAAGTTTCTTGTTCATTGGAGGGGACGCCCACGCACAGATTGTACATGGATTACCGAATCTGAATTTCAGAAGTTGGATCCAGATTTCTATGAGAGGTATCAGGCCATTAACTCGTCGGGGTCGAGTCTTTTCAAGCCGGGGAGAGATGATAGCGATAAGTGGCAAAAGTCCACTAAGGTTTATAGGAGACGTGGGAAGGATATGTCGAATGCCCAGGCATTGATTTGGCATGCTTTTGATGACAAGGAACCAACTTGGGAGTTGGCCTGAATCCTATGGAGTTTATTTTCTGATTTCTGTCGGCAGGGGTATTTTATTAATTTGAATTAGCTGCAGGAATTTTATGTTTACAGTAATTTTTGTTTAGTAGTTATTCTTGGTAATTAGTAAGTTGGTTGTTATAGGGAATAAGAAAGCTTAGCCTTCTAGCTTTCTAGTTATAATTCTATTCTAGCTAGGAATCCTAATTAGGATTAGAAAGGGATTTGTCCTAGATAGGAATCCTAATTAGGATTGGAAAGGGATTTGTCCTAGTGTCTATAAATATCAACTTCTCCACAAAGAGAAGGCAGGTTTTGGTCATTTAATAAAATATTCCTGCAAACTTAACGTCTCCCTTAGGGCTGTGTGATGCATTCCAACTTTAGGTGTGAGGCCTAAAGATTCCTAGGAGTGATTCCTAGAACTACCAACCAGTTTTACCTTCTTAAGCATAATCTACCAGCCTATTTCAATATATAAGCCTTCTACAACACTGTTGTGCCCACCAAGTGTTCGTGCTGCGTCACTCTGCTTTGTGGTAAAGCCCTCAGGCAAGTTTAGACACAATTGATTAGAACTCTCTCTCTCTCTCTCTCTCTCTCATCCCCCCCCTCCCCCAATCCCCAAAAAAAATATATATATATACATACACATAGAGGTTCCCATTTAAATGGAAGAATGAAATATCACCAGCAGTTTATATTAGAAAATTGACGCATGATGAGGCACCAAATGTGTAAAACTTCAGATTGAGATTCCCAACCACTTTTCCCTACCTAACTGTTTTTCCTAACTTCAAGAAAGATGAAGTTAATTCTAGTTCATACAAGCTTGGTGTTCTCATGTGAAACCTATGATAAAGAGGTGTCACTGTTATGTTGTTAATCAACAAAAGACATGGTGCTTCACGCTTTTGACAATGGTCCATTCTTAAAAGATCAACGAAAAACTTGGAATCGAATCAATGGCAAAGAAAGTTGTATTCATTCCTCTGAACTATGCATCTTAAATACCAATTATATCTCAAGCGATCAATCACATTAAATCTATGAAAAATGCCTTACATCTTACTACACTTCAATAATCATGTCATTCCACACAAGTCTCGTAAGCTACTGATAAAGTGATTAATAAAGGAAAAAAGACAAAAGACAAAAAGAAAAAAGGAACGTTTGCTCTAACCTCAATGAAATATCCAGTGCCAACGTCCACAAGCACCTTGTCAGCATCATCCAGTGTTCCCGGAACATAAAGCGATGCCGTCAAAGGCACCAGCATTTTCTTCCCTAAAAATTAACTAATGCATGAAGACCAATAATATCTCATTCAAAAAAGTGGAAAAAATAAACTTGGAATTACATATAACAAAAACAAAAACTTGCCAACAACTAAATGAACCAATCGATGTACTGAAACTCAACAATTCGCTCAAAATTGGTTAATTACGGCAACAAAGCAGCTTGAAAATTTTCAAAAAGTGCTCTAATTGCATTGAAATTTCTGAAGAAAAAAACAATTAATAATAACGAAAAACAAAAAAGCAAAGAGGAAAAGAAGCTAGCAGAGCCGGAATGGGACCTTGGGGCCGGAGGGAGAGGTCATTCAGAGCATTTGAGGCGATGTCGAGACGAGCAGTGGCAGTGCGGATGTTGCTAAGGCTGTCTTGGAGAAGATTGACTTCGAGATCGGCCTGTTCTTTTACGGCTCTTAACTGCTCCATGCTTAACTTATCTAACTCCGTCGTCACCGGTGCGGTGGTTTTTGGCCCGCCGGCGCCTCCTCCGATTCCGATCCCCTTCGACGACGCCATTTTCCTTTTCTTTCTGCTGGTATTGCTGACCTTTGGTACCCCAATTCTGACTTTGCTGCCCTTTTGTGTGCAGTCCTGCTTGGGCTGATTAGAATCTATGTTTTCACAACCGGATAGTATCGACTCGGTCAAGTTTAGAGGTCAAGGTGAATAGATTCAATCGTTTTAATAAGGATTGAATCAAATGACGTCATAAATAAAAATTATTTAAAAATTAAAATATTATAATTAAAATACCTAATAACATGTTAATATTAATAAAGATATATTCATATATATTTGATGTTTTAAATATATTTAACAAGAAAATACAAAGAAATTAGAACAATCAAATAACAATTTATATTATTTAATGATCATTAACAAGTTTAGAATTAAAATTATGGATTTAATTGAAAAATAATACCAAACTTTAAGAAAATATTGATAAAGTATGAAATATTTGAGATATATTAATAATTTTTAATAATTTAGGGGCCAAAACATAATATTGAAAATGTTTGAGTTTTTTTTTTTTTTTAAACTGTTTGAACCGGCAAATCCGGTTTTTCCAGGTCAAACCCGATTTTTGACCGGATTTTTAATTATTCGATTTTTAAACGTGACTCGAACCGGACATTTGATCGGTTTCCAGTTCGACCGATTGAACCGATCGATTCGGTCCGAATTTTAAAACACAAATTACAATTGATGCCCTTAAGCTATATCTAGTTCTTTATTCATCCCAAACTTTTTACTTGCTATCACTTAATCCTATGATAGATGTCAATGTCTAGGGATAAGAGATATTTGAAATAATGACTAGATGTGATGTATGTGAGATAAAATGATAGTTAAGAAAATAAAAAAAAATTGATTGAAAAATGGGTTTGTAATTCAAGGTTTATGTCCCACTTCTTTGTATTTTATTAAATAATTAATCAAATTACATATTTAACATCAAAAGTACCTCTCTTTTCTTTCTACGTAACTAGGGTTTTCCCAGGCACTCTTCCATGGCTGCTTCAGCTACCCTTCAGCCGTCAACTGGAGGTCAACCATCTTCCTCTACTTATCCGACTTTTCATAATAAATCTTTTTTGTCATTATTTCATCCGAAACAATATTCACCAATGGAGCTTCATAAAACAACTAGGAGGGGGGAACCTGCGGTGGTTTTCTCTTCTACTAATTCAATTATCCTTGGGAGGGAAGCTCTCAAAGGGACTTCTGCTGATGGAAGAAATTCATAAGTTTTTCACAACTCTAGATTTAAAAGATGCTTTCTCTATTGGTCTCTTAGACAATCGACATGTGTTGATTCAATTAAAAAGTGAGCATGATTTTCATCGCTTATGAGGGAGAAATATATGATACGTTTTTAGTTATCCTATGAGGGTGTTTAAATGGACTACATCTTTTCATGTTGACACGAAACCATCTATTGTTCCTGTGTGGTTTTGTTTCCCTAAATTGCTTGTTCATTATTTCAAGAAAGAGTGTTTGTTTCATATAGTTTCTTGTTTGGGTCGGCCATTGTTCAAGGATACTATAACAATTTCTTTGTCTCAGCCTAGTATGGTTAGGGTGTGTCTGGAGATTGATCTCCTAAAGCCACTCCCTAGCTGTGTCTGGGTTGAAGTTGCAACTGGTGAATCAGAGGGTTTTTGGCAACTGTTAGAGTCAAAAGATTTGCCTAAGTACTGTACTTATTATTTTCGTCAAGGTCACGAATAAGATGGCTGCCGAATTAAGCATCTGAAGTTGAAAGTTTCAAAACTCCAGGATTTGGGGGAACAAATTGAATCAAAAGGAAGACAAGATAGGAAAAAAACAAGGAGTTTTGACAGAAACAAACTCTTGTATTATCGGGAGTGGAGGTTAGTGGTGCGACAAGCTCAGCTATTCCAACCGATAGTGGTGTGGCAAATCCTACTATCGGTTGTGGTGTTGACATACAACCTATTGCTTCTTCAGATGCAAGGGGTTTGTCCGTTGCAAGTCCCGAACATGTGACACCTTCGATTGTTGAAGTTGGTTCTACATAGGAGATCTCTCATATTATGGCATCGATCTCAGAAGGTCAAGTTTCAACTGGTCTTGTGAATTCGATGAGCCTACTAGTGTTGTTTGCGTCATTAGGGGATAAGTCCCTTGTCCCAGCTCAATTTGATTCAGCAGTTATTACTTTAGAAAAAGATTCGTTGGGGGAGGGTTGTTATTCCCTCTACAGGAGTTCAACAGTGGTTGTTTGAGTTTCCGAATTTTCAATAGTTTCCAACATTGTCAGCATTCCTTTTTCTACTTCACTACAAACAAATTTCTCGACTTGTGTAGTAGGGTCTTCAACGCTTAAGGGTTTGGTGGATGAAACTATTTTAGTGGTTGCTAAAAATTATAGAGAATGTGGCTAATCAAATTTTAACTTATTCCTCCCTAGATGATAGTTGTGATTCGAATTGGGGGAATTTGGATATTGTAGAGTTGGAAAAGAATTTGGCTGCTTATATGAATTTGTCGACTCGTAAGCCACCCCTAGAGTCGATGGAAGATTGCATAGATGTTTAGATGGTCTTAAAAAGTTTGATGATTGGTAGCCTATGGTTAGCAAAAAATCACATAAGATGATAGCTTTGTGTCCTTCTGCTTTTTCTTTAATTCCTTCCCAATGATTAAAGCTTTATTTTGGAATGCTAGAGGCATGCGAAAATCTTTAACTTTGGCTAGATTATGTAAGTTTCATTGGTTACATGGTTTTTCTTGCTTAGCATTGTGTGAACTATTATTGATATATCTAAATTGGAGGAGTATAGATGTGATGCCCCCACTTCTTCCTAAGACGAACCAAAAGGTATCGGCGAGACGCCTGCCCAACTCTCGCTAGGACTCAGAACAATTTCAGTTCAAACATGATGAGAACATGAAGATTTGGATTCCTTTCATGTCCAAGAAAATTCATTTTATAAGTCTTCATATTCCAAAGATGGTTGATGGTGCAATCGGGCTCGAGAATCATTGAAGATCCAACCCCGTGTCATGTGTATTTCTTGTTATTTATTTAATTAAGTTTTCAGCAAATATTGTTAGTTAATTAGAGTTAGTCTTAAGTTATTTTTGAGTCCTTAATAAGAGGAATAAAGGCTAAGGTCATGTTTACCATAGTTAAGCCTATTTGAGTTAGTTTTCTATTCTAGTTGAATTAGAGTTTTAGGAAAGTAATTAATTGCTTCTAAATTTATTTAGGAAGTTGTGTCAAGTTTAGAAGTCAAGTCAAATAAGGAAACTTGTATTGTTTCCAATTTAGATTAGGATTTTGAGTCTTGTAAGACTATAAATAGCCAAACTTATGATATTTCAAGAGGAAGACAATTATGAATAAAATTTGAGAGTTTTTCTTTTTCATGTTTATTTGGAAACGTTCCTTGATACAAAGTGAGTCATGTCTCCTTTGTTCAAGTTTTGGCTTATCAATTCAAGATCATGTTGAATTGTGGCGCCATTCTACTGTTCTAAACAATCTCGAGCTGTCCTTGATTGGTTTAGAATCCGTCTTTTGTACCCATAACCTGATCAAGATAGATCATTTCGCTGCCTGATCGATTCGATTTCTTCTCGAGTAGTCCTTGAAGAATCGGGTTCGTATCAGAGCGGTTCCAGGCACCAAATCGATCTTAAATTCTATTTTCCTCTCTGGTGGCATATACTTCAACTCGTCGGGGAAGACATCGGAAAATTCATTCACTACTAACACATCTTTCAGTTTCACCTTATCTCCAGGGGTATTAATCAAGAAAGATAAATAACCTTGCGCCCCTTTACTTAATAATTTCCTGGCTCAAATTCCCGAAACAAGTTCAGACGAGGCTAACCTACCCGTCACATCCAACTTTAGAGTTGCCTCTCCGGGTATCGAGAATTCTACCACTTTAGTTTTACAGTTCAACTGAGCATTATAACGGGCCAACCGATCCATGCCTATAATCACGTTGTATCTCTTAAGGTCTAAACTTATCAAGTCTCCCATAAACTTCCGTTCTCCTACCCAAATCTCATGATTTTTATAAACCATAGTCCCAAGTCAAGCTAGGCCATTCAGCTAGCCAAAATTAGGGTTTTTCAGATTTGGTACAGTTTGGGAATTGGACTATATCTATCTCAATACAACTTGAAATTGAAAATGGTTGGTGGCATTGGAAACTACATTCAACAGGCTACATTTCATCAGAAGGAGTCATTTTGAAATTCAGTTTGCAAATGAGAGAAAATGGAGCCACAATTGGAAGCTTCTACAATTTATCGATTGCACTGACAGAACAGGGCAGTCGACTTTGATCAGTCACTACAGATGACTCACTTCGAATTAAAAGGTGCATATACACCGTTAGAAAAATACGAATGTCTAGTTTTAAATTCCACAAACGGCACTTGATTTTGATGTCCAAGCAGAGAGTTATGATCATTCAAAGATGCTCTGTCTAGAACACCCGAACGCAATTTTCCAGATTTGTACCATTTCGAAATTCCAACTTTTACTCAACCAATTCACATGATTTTTGGTGAAAAATTTCCATACATCATATACAACATATCTACATCAGATTAAAGGTCAATTGAGCATCAAAAATTCGAGCTAAAGGTTCAAGAAAAACAGGACAAATTTCGGCCTCTTCCTATACAATCTTCCTTTGGTTTTCTTTTCACTTTTCTAACTTATATCCACTTGATTAACACATAATTAACACCAACAACACTCATAATCACCATATCAGTTCAATATATCCATTATGGAATTTCATAGAACCCACTCCAACATTTAAACTCAATCCACAACAATAACCATGAAGCTACAAGCTTCCTAGCAAAATTTAACCAACTAGAACTAAGATAAAGTGACCGGATGATTACCTTCTAATCCTTTGTGTAAAATCAGAAATTTTGCACCTTTGAGTCCCAAGAAAACCGTGAGAAAGATGTCCTCCACTATGCCAAGGTGAATCTCCAAGTTGTTAGAAGTTGGATGGTGTTTTTGGATGCAAGATTGGAGCAAAAATGGTGCTAGGTGAATTTGGGTTTTCTCCTTCTTCTTCCTTGAGGGTGGCCGGCTATGGAGTGAAGAGAGAGAGTGAAATGGCTGATGACCAAAGCTTCTTGGAGA